TTGTATGAGCTTTGGGTTTGTCCTGCTCTTCTTTTTCTAGAAGCTTGAGGTTCAGCATCAGGTTGTTTAATTGGGCTCCCCGTTTTCCTAATATGTGTATTCACTGCTATGAATTTCCCTTGTAAGCCTGCTTTCATTGTGTCCCATAGATTCCAATATGTTGTATTCTCATTGTTATTTAATTGAAGGAATTTTCTGTTTTCTTCTTTAATTTCATCTGTGACTCATTGGTTATTCAGAAGTGTGTTGTTCAATTTCCATGTGATTATTAAATTTTTGCAGTTTCTTTTGCTATTAATCTCCAATTTCATTGCACTATGGTCTGATAATATACAGGGGATAACTTCAATTCCTTTGCGCTTACCTAAATATGTTCTATGAGCGAGTATGTGGTCTATTTTGGAGAATGACCTATGTGCAGCTAAGAAGACTGTGTATTCTGATTTTGTGGGGGTGAAACACTCTGTAAACATCTGTTAAGTCCATTTGTTCAAGAGTTTGCATTCTAGTATTTCATTGCTTGTTTTTTGTCTCATGAATCTATCTATTTTTTTTGGTACCAGGGATCGAACCCGGGTCCTTCCGCTTGTGAGGCAGGCAGCGGAAACACTGAGCTAAATCACCAGCCCCAAATCCATCTATTTGTGACAGTGGGGTATTGAGGTCCCCCGCTACTATTGTATTAGTGCTTATATGGTTTTTCATGTCTGCTAGTATTTGTTTTATATAGTTTGGCGCACTAGTGTTTAGTGCATATATATTAATGATTGTCATCTCTTCCTCTTGGGTTGTTCCCTTTACAAGGATGTGGTGTCCTTCTTTGTCTCTCTTAATCAGTGTGGGTTTGAAATCCACTTGATCTGCCAAGAGGATAGCTACTCCTGCTTTTTTTCAGGTTCCTGTTGCATGGAGTATTGTTTTCCACCCTTTAAGTCTATGAGTTTCTTATTGAATTAAGTGTGTTTCTTGTACACAGTATATTGTTGGATCTTGCTTCTTGACCCATTCTGCCAGTCTATTTCTTTTGATTGGTGAATTGATTAACATTGATGGTTATAACTGATATGTATTGACTTATCCTTGTCATGACTTTTTCTTTTTGTTGGATTCTCCCCCTTTGCATTTAATGTCTTGCGCCCAATGGATTCATTCTGCTGGGCTTCCTGGAGTTGTCATCCTCCTTGTCTTTTCCTAGGATATTGTTTAAAAATTTTTGGAGTGCTTGTTTGGTATTTGTGAAGTTCTTAAAGTGCTCTTTGTCATGAAAGTATCTTATTTCTCCATCCATTTTGAAAGATAGTTTTTCAGGGTACATCAATCTGGGTTGGAGGTTGTTTTCCTTTAGAGCTTGAAATACATCGCTCCTTGCTCTTCTTGCCTTGATGGTTTGTGTTGAGAAGTCTGCTGTGATTCTGATGGGCTTTCTTTTGTATGTGATTTGTTTCTTTTCTCTAACTGCTTG